CATTAGCGCTACCTCGAGACTGCTTGAAGGAAAACGCGTAGGCTGAGGAAGCAAGGTGATTTGGGAAGGTTCTTATGTCTGAAGCGTGGGTCCTGAAAGGTGTAGAAGGGTTTGCGTGCTGAACAAGATGAGGAGTGGAGACTCCAGCCTGGGAGCACGCACAGTGCCCCGAAAGCAGGTGGCCTTGTAACGGGACTTCTTCCGGGAATCAGCTAGAAAACTTGGGCTGGCCCGGGTCTTGAAAAGCTTTGCCTACCATTGAGTCTTCTAGATTTGTCCTTTAGCAGTTAAACACCAGTAAAGATGGTAAGACCAAGGGGGATGTGATTCTTGTGGTTTGAAAGGTCTGAGGCAGAGCCCAGCTATGGCTCTGTGACAGTGGACTCATAAGAAGTGGTGAGAGCCCGCATGGAACAGTGGGATTGAAGAGCATGGAACTTCTGAGATGGTGTCTGATTGAGGCACAGCTTGAGAACAGAGGCTGCTAGCGTGACTGGTGTTACCAAACAGCCAAACAGTTGCCACCAAAGTCAGCGGCTTCCCGTGGTTCCTTGGACCAAGCACTAGGGATACTCCTACAGCATTGGGTTAAAGGGGGGAAATGACCTTTGCAGTATCAAAGCCCTTGAAAATATTCAGTTCCAAGGAAAACCTACAGTCTTCTCAGTTCATCATTGATTCCCTCTCCTCCCAAGTCCAAAAATGTGCAGCTTATTGGGACCGAAAATGTGCCCTTTTTGGTCGACACTTGCTCGTCATCCTCTGACTGCGCCTTCTCTTAATCCTGATGACAAGCTAGGGACCCTGATGAACCCCTGGGCCTGGGACAGGACTGGGGCTGCTGCTGCAGAGTGGGCAGGCCCATTTCTCTAACCGAGCAGCGCCACTCCTGGTTACTGAACTTCCCTACGGAAGTGCCCCCATGGTCCCCCAAGAGGTGAGTCCTGGAGCTCGTTTCTGTTTGAAGTTAGAATAACCAGTGCCCAGGCAGCATCTGCCGGTTTGCAATGCTAGCCATTTGGGAAGAGCCAGAAACCAGCCATGCGCCCCTCATTTCTGCCCCACCCCTCAAATGGACTCGGTCACACCTGCTAAAGCAGCCCTTGGCAGAGGTGAGAAGCAGGCGTCAGTCACATAACTGACCTGCCCTGATCAAAACACACCCCCTTGGCCTTAACTTCACTATGAGTTTCTCTCTGTTGCTTCTGGTCCTGTCCAACCCATCCCCTCTCCGGGAACTTCTTCCCAGGACCTCGGCTTGGGCCCTGTCTCCTCCCCTTCTGTCTCTGCGTCTTTCAACACCTACAACTAACTGCCTGACCTAATGTGGAAGTGGAGAGCTTTAACTCCATGTCACTCTCTCTCGCTCAGCCCCTCAGGAATACCCTTGCCCAGTGTTTCTGTTCTTACAAGGGGTCAGTATCCCTCTGAATAAGGAAGCATGTTTTACTTTACTTGAGCACTTTCCACTGGGGAAGAATTGAAAGTATTTTCCTGTTAATAAGTCAGCAAAACTACTCTGAACCTGGGTTCCTTCAAACACAAATATTTATTGGGTAGCTGGGACATTCAAGACCCAGTGGCATGAGCAAGCATTGCACGTGTTCAGTAAATATTTGTTTTGATTTGGTTTCCCTAACACCAAAACTGAACTTTCTAATGGTTGTGAGAACCTGGACAAGTTCCAGGGAGATGCTTTGAGAGTCTCCCCGGAAAGCTGCCACATGATAATGCAGGATATATTTTGATAAACTTTATTTCACCTTCATTAAAATGTCATAATCACCTAGTAAACTGGAAGCCCGGGAGAATTGGAGGCAATTCTGGTTTTTGTGCTACATGTTTTGCCAAATTTCCATGGAAGTTAAGCTTTGAGTTATTCAGTAACCACAGCAGGAGCTCAGCTCTGCTGTTGGCTCCACCAAGGTCTTACCCTTGGCTCCAAAGGAAAGAAGAGAATAGCCCCGGATGTGAGGCAGTGGCAAGGACCAGCTGAATGACAGCCCTGCTCATAGGGGCTGTGGCTGGGACTGGAGGCAGGGCTCAGGAGAGGGGAATTGTATTGTATTACTGACCTTGCAGTATTAAAAAAGAGAGAGGGTGTTTGGATGCTACATTCTTTCCCTGCCTCCCCAAACCTACCCCTAACACAGCAAAGTACAGAGCAGCCCTGCGAGCAGCAGAAGCTCAGATGTAGGGAAGCCTTTTCAAAAACGATTGTAATATGTACTTGGTAGAAGTTCTGAAGTCAGCCTCCAGTTCCAGAAATGGTTAGAAGTTTCCATGAAGAATTTGATTTAAACATACTTTTATATATTTAAATATTTACAATGATTAAAACACTTTACAGAATACTAATGACAGTGTGTTGGGGGGGGCAGAGGAAGACAGATGATTAGATAGATAGATAGATAGATAGATAGATAGATAGATAGATAGATGATAGTCACCCAAGTTAGTTTGCCCTGTATACAAGCTCTTTTTTTCCTTTCCTCATCAATCAGTATTTCGAAATATAACAAAACTCCTTTTTACATGATTTTTGTAGAATTCTATAATAACTGTTCTTATCTACAGAAATATATATATATATGTGTATATATATATATATATATATATATATATATATATATATATATACCTAAGCTAATAGAAAGGAATAGTTAAATTATAGACAATGGACTATTATACTGCCATTAGAAAATTTTTGCCAGGCAGGGTACACCTAAACAGCTCTGTTCCACCTTCAGACACCCAACTGGGCTGTTCTCACTCCTTTGCTCCTGTGTCACCTGCTCTCCTTTGCTCCTTTGTCACCAGCCAGGGGCTCAGCCTGCTTCTAGCTCCTCTCTGGCGCTGCCACCGCCTCCAACATGCCCTGGAAGTCCCCTCCCCCCAACCCTTTGTGGAATACAACACGGATACCCTTCTCATAAGGTCAAGGCCTTTTTGAAGAGGAGGTAAATACATTGGCATGTTCAAAAGTAGGAAACGGAATAAGGAGGTTCGTATGGACTAGTCTTCCTCCCCCTCTGAGCTTCCACCCTCAGTCTCACCATTTCCACTTGGCGATACTAAAGGTGACACACTATGAACACTGCTTAGCAGCTCGCTTTCCCCCTGAGTTATCCTGGAGCTCTTCCATGGCAGCACGCGGAGAGGAGATTCCTGTCTGACCGGGACATAGTTTTCCAGTGGGTGAGGTACCTCTGTTTATTTAACTCGTCTCCTATCGATGGAAGTTGCTTCTAACCTTTTGCTCTTACAAATCGGGTTACCGTTGGTGATCTCATGCGTACCCGTGCAAGTATCTGTGTAGGAGCCATTCCTGATGTGGGACTTCCAGGGTAAATTCACTTGTAATGTTGGTATTGCCAAACCTCCCTTCAAAGGGTTATAGAGCGGGCCGGCCGAGTGGGTCAGTTGGTTAAGAGCTCGCTCAAGAGTGCGAGCTCTGAGCAACAGGGTCACTGGTTCGATTCCCAGCCCAAGATGAGCTGCCGCTGAGCTGCTAACAGGTGGCAGGATGGCTCAGCTAAAAAAAAAGAAAAAAAGGGTTGTAGTGCACTCTGCACCCCCAGCAGCAATTCATTAGGGAGGCCTTTGCTACCACCCTTTCTAAAATGGTAACCTCTGCCCCTTCTGCCATCACTTTCTACCTCCTTGCCCTGTGGTATCTTTCTCCATGGCCTCTGTTAATACTGGCTGACATGTTATATTTTTCTGTTTATATACGGATTCTGCATGTGGCTGTTGCATATCTCCCTTGACTGGGGTTCCCAGCTCCTGGAATGATGCACAGGGGTTTATTGGACACAAGTGGTTGGACAGGAGAATTTTCCATTGTCCTTAATCTGGAGTGACAAGGAACCTCTGAGCATTCTAGGGCCCTTAGGACAGTTCATTGTAACTGTTCACACTGCATATGGGAGTCTTGAAGGTGTCCAGGGTCTAAATCAGCCAAGAACTTACACAGAGCTTCAGTCCAGCTAGAGATTTCCTGTTTCGTGATTAGAGAGCTCTCTAGAATTCCTAGGACTGTACCAACTTCAAAGAGTGTCCACACAGAAGGCGTAGACGTACCCTGTGAATGGTTGTAGCAATCCTGGTGATACCGGTTTTGGCTATTTAGGAAGAGGAAAATATAAATAAACAGGCCCCTTACATCCATTAGTTTGAATTCATTTAATCTCCCCCAATAACTAAGCTAAGTACAAATAATAACGCACGCCAAAAAAAAAAGTAATTTGGTTAGTTTGCTTTTAAAGAAGTATTTCAACAGTTGTATGCTTTTACCTGCCCTGCACACTGTCTCCTGACCCCCAGTCCGATTGTGTTAAGTACCTCCCAACCAGCTCGTCCACCTTAGAAATATCGCTGGCGTGCACCCCAAGGGGATTTGTGCTCTTGTGCCCCCTTCCCGGCACTTCAGGGCTGAGCGGGGAAGTGTTCCATCTGCGGACCACAGGTGTAACCATCCTGTGTCCTGGTCTGGGTCACGGATGTGTTGGGTCTTTGAAGCCTGAAAGTAGCACTTTGTTCCAGAAAATTCCTCTTCTTCCCGCTCTGATGAGATACTATGGCCTCTCTCTCACTTCCCCTAAAGAAACCTGTGAAAGAGAGGGTATCGCACTGACCAAGTAGAAGCCTAGACGTTTCTAGACGTCAACTTGGCTAGCTATATTCACCCATTTTCTACTCCCGGCCTGGGTAACCAGGGGGGAATACAACCAAAACCATGCAGACAAAGTTATCCTCAGTCAGGCATTTTCTGACTAAATTTGAATTTGTGAACACATTCTTCTTTTCCTTTTGTATGATAAAGATGGAGAAGACAGTGCGAGAGGATGGGTAAGAAAGGTGGGCCTTGCTTTCCCTGGGCCTGACTGAACTTTAAAACTTCTCGGCTAATTAAACAACACGGGGCTCCACGCTTTGCTTAACCCCGGGCGCTGGTCATCAGCCTTTGACCTCAGTCCACCCCTCTCCCCTGCCTCTCCCCCACCCTCGCCTCTGGAACCTCAGGAAAGAGAGGAAAGAGCCAGTTTTCAGAGGGATTGCCTCAGATCACACGATCTCCACTTGCCCAGCCCTGTGGAGGATTAGCGACCATGTTTTCCAATGGGATAGGAACTGTAGCTGCTGGAAAAAGGTAAGCGTGGTGAGCTTCCCCTTCCGCGCCCTCACTGGGTCTTCTGACCTCTGTAGGACTCAGGAGGGTGACCTCGACACCTTCCAGAAGACCAGGCCCTCTCCCTGGTGGTTACTATCAAAGAACTTGTTTGGAAGACGTCATTCCCAGCGCCGTCCCTCTCACCTCGCTTGGGGTCAGGCCTTTCCCAAAGCCCAAGAAACAAAGGGGGTGTCTTTCCTCCCTTGTGTGAGGATGCCGCACCAGCACCAGCCCCCATGCCAGTCCAGGAGACCCTCCAAGGGGAACTCCGGGGCCTGGTCTACATCTGATGAGGGCAAATAGAATCTGTGAGGACCTCCTGATGCCCTTTTTTGCTCCTCCTTCCCCTTGGTTGCCCCCCACCCCCACCCCTACCCGCTACTCCAAGGTCTTGGTGACCTTTGACTGATAAGAGGACTGCAGTCCTCTGCGATCTGGCTTGCTGCAGGAAGCTAAAAGTGAGGCTGCGGCTTGAGTACCTTGGTGTTTCTTCGGGTTTAACAGAGCCCCAGGGCGCCCTCAGCCTGTCCTTGTATTTCCTGTAGCTGAGGGATGAAATGGGAGAGGGTAGGCAGCAAGACAGAGGGATGCATGGCAAGGTTCTGTGTCTGCTTCTTCACCCCGCCTTCCACAGCGCCCTCAGGGCCTCCATTCCCCTCCCGCTCAGTTAGCCTCAGATCACACACGGAGCCGTCCCGCAGCTGCCCACCAGCCGGCCCCACAGCAGACCTCAGCTAATCCTTTCTGCTCTGCGTGCCTGTCCTTTTCTGCCAGGGGAAGACTGAGGAAGGCTCGGTCCTCACACACAGGCTCGCTTCCCGAGAAGGGACCCAAGTCGGCCACAGGAAGTCCCTTCCCCTCCCCCAGCCCCCGGCCTTCTCTACGAAACATTACAAGAGAGTTTATCTCTTGGTTTGCTTACTTGGGTGTCCCAATTCTCCTAATTTACCAATCTCATGATCTCATCTTTTAAAACGTGAAGTTAGTTTCATTTACTTTTAGTGAACCCATGTTGGAAGCTATTAAAATGCCCAGGCGACAGAAAATGATGAGGCCTGAACTAAGGCAGTGAGAGAGCAAGGAAACGGAATCGGTCAAATCTAGGGCCTGACTAAATGAGGGTGGAGGAGGAATCAGGGCGGCCCCCAGGGGTCTGGATGGGACAGCAGAGTGCAGGAGGGTCCCATCTGCTGAGCTGGAGGACATGGAAGGAGAAGCAGGTGTGTGGGGAGCGTTATAAGTTCAGCTTGGCCATATTTCACTAGGGAAGCTGTAGGACATCCAGGTGGAATTTGCAGCCAACTATCGGTCTGGAGCTCTGCAGAAGGCTGGGGCTGGAGCCACAGCTACGAGGTCCTCCCCCCACAGATAGCGCCTCTGCCCCATTCATTCCTTCCTACCCCTCTCATATTACTGAACTCGCTCTGCTGTATCAATCGAAATGCTTCCAACCCTTCAACACGCAGGGTAAAGTCCGTCTATTTCCGAGACCTTCCTATGCAGCTCTGTAAACAGCTCCTCCGATGGCCCTCACTCTTCACTGGGCACTATTTTTCATGTGTGCGTGTCCCTTGTCACCAACTGGAGGCATTGCATTCTTTATTTCTCCCAGCATGGCGCCTTGGGCACACGATACTTTAATAACCACCAGCTGCTTCAATAGTTAATTCTAATTTCAACATGACTATGTCCAGCAAGTGGAACTATCCACTCACTGGGAGTCCAGAACTGAACTTGTTCTGGGCACTTGGACTTGACAAAATACGGGGCCACACCAGGTGGGCTGGCATCCTGAGCTTTCCTGGGGCAAGTCTGGGCTGGGCAGTGGGGATTGGGGTTCTCCCATCCTAGCTTAACTCAGCTTTCTGTCCCCCTATAGGAAGGCATGTCTCCTCTCCTTGCTGCTCATGGGCCTCTGGGGCTGTGTGTCCTGTCACTGGAGCCCCATAGAGGACATCTGCACAGCCAAGCCTCGGGACATCCCTGTGAATCCCATGTGCATTTACCGGTCCTCAGAGAAGAAGGCAGTAGAGGACGAGGGCTCAGACCAGAAGGTCCCTGAGGCCACCAACCGGCGGGTCTGGGAACTGTCCAAGGCCAATTCCCACTTTGCCACGGCCTTCTATCAGCACCTGGCAGATTCCAAGAATGACAACGACAACATTTTCTTGTCGCCCCTGAGTATCTCCACAGCTTTTGCAATGACCAAGCTGGGTGCCTGTGACAACACCCTCAAGCAGCTGATGGAGGTACAGTCCACAGCCCTTCTGTCCAGCCTCCTTACTATGTATTGGTCTAGAGCCCTTCCGAGACCTTAGGTCATATCCCAGTCTCCTCGTGTTTCTTTTTCCCTTTCTCCTTCCTCCCCTTTCTTCTTCTTTTATCCATGTATTCATTTAGAAAGCATGAGCGGAGCATTTATGTTGTGCCAGGCACTATACTTGAAGGAGGCGACACCTGAGGTGGCGCTCAGTCAGAGGCCGACGGCACCGTGTTCACCAGCAGGTGAACCCGGCTGCCCCACCAGACCCACCAGCTTTTTCTTTTGGCTTCTACAGGTTTTTAAGTTTGACACCATCTCCGAGAAAACATCTGATCAGATCCACTTTTTCTTTGCCAAACTGAACTGCCGACTTTATCGAAAAGCCAACAAATCCTCCGAGTTGGTATCAGCCAACCGCCTTTTTGGGGACAAATCCCTCACCTTCAATGAGACCTACCAGGACCTTAGTGAGGTGGTATATGGAGCCAAGCTCCAGCCCCTGGACTTCAAGGTGAGTGGCGGACGTCATCCCTCACCTCAGAGCTGTTCCTTCCCACATAGAGATTGAGGGGGTACAGATGCAGGACCTGAATGACCGCTGCTCTGCTAGCGAAAGGCAGGTGGAGGGGCGACTGTAAGTCAGATCCCCAGGAATACTTTTTTTTTTTTTAAGATTTTATTGGGGAATTGGGGAAGGGGAACAGCCAAGTCGTTGTCCTTCAATCTTAGTTGTGGAGGGCGCAGCTAGCTCAGCTCCAAGTCCAGTCGCCATCCGGCCACCCGTCGGCAGCTCAGCTCAAGGTGCCGTGTTCAATCTCAGTTGCGGGGGGCATAGCCCACCATCCCTTGCGCGAGTCGAATGGGCAACCTTGTTGTTAGGAGCACATGCTGTCACCAGCTAAGCCATCCTGCCACCTGTTGGCAGCTCAGGAGCAGCTCAGCTCAGGCACAGCTCACTGGCCCATGTGGGAATCGAACCGGCAACCCTGTTGCTCAGAGCTCATGCTCTTAACCAACTGAGCCCCTCAGCCAGCCCCCTGGAATACTTACTCTTGCTTGAAACCTGAGAAGTCAGTGGTATCTATAGATTGGTGTGGCTGCTCTGAAAAAGTTGTCCAAGTATAATACATTACTTGCATATGTACCAAAAGATATCCTGGAGATTCCCGTCCTACAAGATACCTTATTTAATTCCATTTTTAAAGGTTACCATGGCCAAATAAAATTGGTGCATGGTGCATGTTATATTCTCCTCTTGGAGATTCAGAAAGCACCTAAACCTATTCAGTGTTCTGAGAAGTCCTGGAATAAAGAAGTCTATTGACTTTATTCAGTCAGCATGTCTCAAACATTTTTGACCACATGGGCATCCCTTCTGCTCCGCTCCCCCCCCCCCCCCCCCCCCCCCCCGCAATCACTCATTAGCTTCCCATAGAACATGTTTTGGAAACCTAAACCCTTGTGAGTACATGCCAGTATATTAGATACGTGAGGTTCCCCTCATCTGGGTTAGAGTGATAGCTTAACCAAATGGGCGAAAGGGCAGAGGGATGATGAATAAAATAAAATGCTGCGTGGGGAATGGAGAAGATGACTGAATAGCACAGGTGAGTAGGTTTGTTTCCTCTTCTCCTCAGGAAAATGCAGAGGCATCCAGGGTGACCATCAACCAGTGGATATCCAATAAGACCGAAGGGCGCATCACTGACGTCATTCCCCAGGATGCCATTAACGAGCTCACTGTCCTGGTGCTGGTCAATACCATTTACTTCAAGGTACTACTCAGACAGCCCTAGAGAGACCCCAGGGCCACTTCTTGCCCTCCAGCGCCCCCTCTTTCACTCTGCTGGGCACATGTAGGTAGATCCCCACTGAGAAGTGGTATGTACATGCATGGTCTAGGCAGAAATACAAATTAGCGAAGAGTCTAGAACCAATTCTAGGGCTGTGTCTGCTGGGCTGAGGTCCACGGGGTGCTGGCAATGCCTCTGGGCCCAAGGCTGGAGTGTCCAACCTCACAACCCAGCGTACCCTGCAGCAAGGCCTGAGTGGTGATCAAGTCTCATCTCTATGTGACAATTCGGCTGTCCAGTCAACTCCATTTTCAAACCTGGAACAAGATGACTGAGCCTATCAACAACCCTCAGTGATGGGACTTTCTCCATCACCTGGAGCAGCTTCTGCAGTGACTCAGTTCCCCTTGCCTGAAGCTTCTGAAGCCCCAGGTGCCAGGCTCACCTCAAACTTTGCAGGGACCCTGTGATTTGCTCATGCAGAGGGCCTTGTCTTTCTCTTGATTACATTCAGGAAGGAGGCTGAGGGAGGGCGTGCAGGGAACACACTGCTCAGACAGGCAGGGCCAGGCAGGTGGAATGGCGGCACATTTCCCTCTCCTGAGTCGTGCTCCATATGCATTCCTCCCTCCCCCACAGGGCCCAGGGGGTTAGCCAGTCACTGCTGTGGCCAGCCACTCTGCCACTCGGGGTGTCCCTCTCCCCAAGAGTGGAGCAGGCTGCATTTCCGCCGTGTGTACCGCCCTTTCCAGTTTACAGAACACTTTGCTATTTATTAGCGCCCCTGACCCTCCCAGCATCACAAATGAGAGCGTGGGCGTAGACAGGTTCCTTAGTTTAAACCCAGGCTCTTGCATTTCTGATTGCCTGAACTTGGGCTAGTTACCTCAGACCTTTCTATGCCCCGCTTTCTGCATCTATAAAATGGTGACAATTAATAACACCCCCACCTCACAGGGGAGCTGAGGGGAATGACTAAGCTAACGCATGGAGAATGCTCAGAGGGGGGCCTGGCACACAGGAAGAACCCTACAAATACTAGTAACCACCAGCTCCTAACTTTACAGATGAAGCCCCACCACTCAAAGAGTTAAATGACTTGTCCCCAAATCAAAGAGCCAGAAGATGACAAAGAATGGTAATGACAACCACCAAATTTCAGAGCAGTATCTCTATCCCCTCCCTCTCTGAACAGGAACTTGGCCGGGACTGGCCTTGCCTGGCAGAGGCCGCCCTGGGGTTATTATCTGTGTGTGGTCCGTGTTCAGCGGGGCAGAGCCCAGCCTTTCGGAGGGTGCAACAAGCCAGAGGCAATTAGATTCAAACTCCAGAAGAGACTTGTGAAGAGGCCAGTGGGTTGTTCCTGGTTGTGGTTTTTATTTTTCTCATTAGACAAGCAAATAGATAGTCACTGCTAAAAATCTGGGGTACAGGCAAGGTCACAGAAAGAAAACTCTCAGGGTTCCATCGCTCTGACACAGCCATGCTTCACCTTTTCATGCATATCCCTCCTGCCTGCTTTCCTAAGAATGATCCTTACCTGTTCACGTAATAACAGAACGTGAATGCGTCCATGTCAGTCTCCTCCTACGGATGCTCTTGCTCCTCTTGCTTTGTGATTCTCTCACCTGGTGTCTTCTTCCAGGGCCTGTGGAAGTCAAGGTTCAGCCCCGAGAACACAAGGAAGGAAGATTTCTACAAAGCTGCTGGGGTGTCGTGTTTAGCACCCATGATGTACCAGGAAGGCAAGTTCCGCTACCGGCGTGTGGCAGAAGGCACCCAGGTGCTCGAGTTGCCCTTCAAGGGCGACGACATCACCATGGTGCTCATCCTGCCCAAGCCTGAGAAGAGCCTGGCCAAGGTGGAGCAGGAGCTGACGCCGGAGGTGCTGCAGGAGTGGCTGGACGGACTGGCGGAGACGCTGCTGGTAGTCCACATGCCCCGCTTCCGCATTGAGGACAGCTTCAGCGTGAAGGAGCAGCTGCAAGACATGGGCCTGGCCGACCTGTTCAACCCGGAGAAGGCCAAGCTCCCGGGTGAGTTGAGGAAGGACGTTCCTCTACTCTCTGCCCCCACGGCGGTCTGACCAAAGGTGGAAGAGGTAGAGAAGGGACTAAAGAGCAACAGGTCAGGACACCTGGATACTAAGCCCCGTTCTACTGCTAACTCAGGGAAATCTCTCTCCCTCTCGAGGTTGCCGTCTTCTCTTCTGGAAAAGGGGGACTTAGCTCTTGAATCTCCATGGGCTTCGCTGGCATGGGGACCCTTTGAGTGTGTCACTGATAGAGAAGATGGGAACAGGCAGAGAAGGACTTGAAAAGGCGTCAGAATTCACAGCAGAGACAGATAGGATTAAGAGCTGGGACATCTGGGTCCCAAATAATAGGCATAGCTGACACTTAGCAGCCCCTCACCGAATATTCCAAAGGGCTCATGTGGTTTCCTTACGGTCACTTGACAGATCCAGCCAAACTCTTCCCAGTGGTGATACTTCAGTAATGGTGTTTGGTTGGCTTGGTTCTTCCAATCCACCATCCTTTAAAAATATAAACTAAAATATCTCTTTTTTAACGAGAAGTTTACAGTGTTAGGTAATTGGATTTACCTTTAATGGGCTGTCGCTTAAGCAAGGTCTGAAAAAACAATCCCTCTCTTAAAAACTGTTGCCAGACTGGAAAGAAAGACATTCCTACTAGTTGGAGGAAGTCTTTCTTTGAAAACAGTCCCCTGACCGCCTCCCCCCACCTAATAGCTGAAGCATAAGATTGAATCCCCCCAGGAACCAGGCTGAAAAAGCCCAAAGTACTTTATTATTTTTAACACATAATTATATCAGGGGTATTGTTAGGTGAGGGTCCAGGATTTCTTCCAGTTTTTCCCAAAAAAACCCCAAGGGCCTCTGAACTCAAACTGAATTCCTGTCTGTGGGTTAAAGCCAACATTCTCCCGCCTCACCGAGCCTTCTCTGGGCTTCCGTCTAGGTATCGTGGCAGGAGGCCGGGACGACCTCTATGTCTCAGATGCATTCCATAAGGCATTTCTCGAGGTGAGTCCACCTCCTTTGGGTCTTTCTTCTTTGGCTGCTTTTTTATTCCCATGCTACCTGATTATTCATATGTCGGTATCTCATGTGATTGGTCACTTTGGAGTTCTTGTTCTACTCGCTTTCATGGTATAGACAGCAGATGCGCGAACAGCAGGAGACAACTGTGGATAAGCCGTGTCCAGTGTCCTGGCCCCAACGCTGTAGCCCACTCCTCCTTGAGGCTGGACCCCGAGGCCTTCGGGGTCGAATCGGTCCACCCTCCGTCCCACTACATCTCCTGAAGCAGGGACACAAACAGTCAGGGGAAGGTGACATAGGAAAAGGACCAGTGAAGGCCACTGAGAAGGCATTCAGAGGGAGCGATCAGGGGAGTACGAGCCCGTGGGAACCCAGGGAGAAGTTTTAAGACAATGGAAAGCGTCTCTTAAGGAGATTGAAATGTGACCCTAAGTTCCTTCTCCCTGAGGAATCTGGGCAGGATAGAGGGGGCACATGCCTAATTAATTATATGGTTGGGGGGCAAACGGAAGGTAAGGCAGGGGAGCTGGTGAGTGTGGATCATATCCTAAAGCGGGCTCCAGAGAACGCACGCTCTAGACTACCCTGCAGATAACAGATAAAAGTTAGGTGGTGAAATCGGTGTGTGCCCTCTTCTTGGGAAATTAACAAGAATTAACACACACAGGCAGGCTGAAGTCTGAGAGGCTCCACAGTGAAGAAGGCAGTTCAGTATTTATTGCTTAATCTAGTGTTGCTCCAACTAAGGCGCCACGGACCCCTTTACTAGAGTAACAGCTACGTGAAGCCTGGAGAACTTCCGGATCTCAAACAAATACCAGTAGCATTAGCTGTTTGGGAGCTTGACTCAGAGAGTCCAGGATGGGGCCTGAGAATTTCTCTATATATTTTCAAAGCTCCTCAAGGCGCTTTTGATGCACAAGCAAGTTTGGAAAACACTTGTGTAGACTGTTCCTTGGGGAACCAGGCTCTGAGGGGAATGAGATGGGCCCGTGTTAGAAAACGTCACAGGGTGGAGGAAATCGCAAAGAAAAAAGGCTGGAGAGGACGGCTTTGAAGCCCGGGGCCTGTAAATCTAGTCGCAGGGTCCAAGCTCGGTGGGAAACACGTAGTTAGGAGGAAAGCAGAGGTAGCAAGGGACAGGAGGACAAGGTTGATTGTAATGGGAGTGAGAAAATGTAATAGGTTGAAAAAACACAAGGTTATAGTCTGAGAGAAGGACAGTGCAATTATAACTTCAGAGGCAGGGCACTTCTGAGAAATGGCAGGTTTGGGGTGTAGCCATGGGACTGGTTTGCTTAAGTAGAGTTGAAGGTAGCGCTCATTGGGTTTGATGAGATAAAAGAAATGGGAGGTTAGGGTGTCGACTGGGTCTCCTACCGAGGTATTTTAATTGTCTTGGTCAGATGATAGCAGGCCAAGCTATCATCTGATAGCAGATGGGGCTATGAGCTAGGTGCCCAAATCCTTAATGTGGACATATAACCCATTGGACAATCAATAGCTGTCAGACCTGTAGGACAACAGCGAAAGGAGAGGGATGTAATTTAAAGATAGTGAGATCATAACAAGGGATCTTACATGTACTGAATTAATGGTTCGGGAAGTAAAAATGATACTACTGTCACCCTCTTCCACATGGATTATGGTGGAGCACTTAGAAAGGCTGCAAGGGAGGATAAGCACTCAGCGCATCCACTAGGATGCAAAATCCTCTTCTCAAGACCCCAAATAGAAGTGGTCAACTCAGACCCGCTGGAGGGCTTTCAGTTATTATTAGGGAGAAGCGAAGGTCTGGGTTCATTTTATCTACCTGAGCCCACTAAACAGTGACTCCATGGCTCTTAGAACAAAGTTGTTTTCCTTGAAAACCTTGGGAACCCAATACATAGGACCCCAACTGATTGTAGATCTCCTGGGAAGTCATTAAAAACCAGAATCTGATTTGAATAAAAGGATCCTGGTCTTATAAAAGCTCTAGTCTGCTCATAAATTCAGTCCTGGAATGATCATAAAATAGGTAGTATGGGGGATGTTGGGGGCGGGGGGTAAGGATGGAGTAAGAACGAGAGGCGGGGAGACCAGCAACCAGCTCCACAAAGCTCAGGGCTCAGAATTGCTTTCATTCATTAAGAGGCAGGGACAGTTTCGTGACATTCTGGGTCCCCGAGTACAATTTCCTGAAGGCGTCTCCCTCTAAACCCATGGCAGTTCTGCTTATCAGCAAGTTCAGGGAACGCTGTTTCAGTCTATTACTCCAGGAAGCACTCATCTCAGACAGCCAGAGCATGCTCCTCTTTTCAGAGGCCCCAGGTCCTGAGTGGCCACGTGGGGTAGTTATATCTGGGATTTTGATGCTCTGAAAGTAACTCTATTTCAACTGCAGAGCTCTGATCTTGAGTCAAAACCTGTTTTAGTGTCAAGTTCATTATAATCCTCTTGTCACACCATGTACAATGGTGCCAGCCAGAAATCTGACACCCTTGTATACATCCAGATTTCTGGTTCAGCAGTTATCTGAATGGAACTTACTATCCGAATAGAAGTGCGTACCTTACATCAATAGTCATTGGATGCAAGAATGAGTAAAAGGTGGGTTCCGCAGGGAACCCAACCTGACCCAAATGTACCTTCTACTGAATAACAAAGAGCATTTTGAGGGGTTGCTGTGTCTTTGGAGGATCTGCCTGCATATAATGAACTGCAGGGTACCTAATGTAGCAGTTTGTTTCCTGTCTGACTTGCAGGTAAATGAGGAAGGCAGTGAAGCAGCAGCTAGCACCGCCATCGTGATTGCCGGCCGTTCGCTGAACCCCAACAGGGTCACCTTCAAGGCCAACAGGCCCTTCCTGGTTCTTATAAGGGAAGTCGCTCTGAACACTATTATCTTCATGGGCAGAGTAGCCAACCCTTGTGTTAACTAAAGTGTTCTTATTCTTTGCACCTCTTCCTATTTTGGTTTGTCAATAGAGGTAAAAATAAATACAATTACTCCCATCTCACAATGATGAATGGACATTGCCACCTGGAATGAAGACGAGGAAGGGAGAAACTGATAGAGGTGCTATTGGGCATTTGGTAAAAGGATGCTTTCAATTGCTCTCTACCAGTGAACACATCTGGGTCAAGCGCGTGAAGGAGGGAGATGTGTCACCGCATCATCGTGAAGGAGGGCAGGCACCCTGAAAGGGCAGGGGGAGCTTGAAACCTCGGTCGTCCCGTCACAGTACAAAAAAGCCAAAACTTTAAAACAAATTAAGCTCTATGTACAGAAAAGACAAGAATCAAATCTGAGTATTAAACCATTTAATTCTCAGACCACTCACATGCATAATGTTCTTTTACACAGTGTTAAAATAAAGAGGAAAATGTATTTTTATACAAACAGAATTTCAAGTATACATTAATAGACTTTTCAGGTTACTAACCAAGTTGCTAAGATTTCATTCACATTGTTCTTAAAGCTGTTCGACAAGAAAGCTTCTGCTAAGCTGCTTTAAATATGTTTATATAAACCCTTATCTTCACTCTTTCTCTGAATCTCCCTCCCCCCCAACCCCAGTCTCTGCCCACCCTCCTGCCCGCCCCCCTCCCCCGACACACAGGGCTGGGGCTCTAGGAGACATGCAACCCCACCAAGAACTATTGGCTTGTCATCAGGGGAAGGACAGAACCCCCAGGAGGAGAGGCTGAGAACACCTGTCAAATTAAGGGTGAGAACAAATCTGATACTTAGAATCACACAAATCAGGCTCACATCTTATATAGGCTTTGTGTTTTTCACTTGATTTTTTTTAACAACAAAAACCTCAGCCTCCCACAAAACAACCCAGAAATTTCTGACAATTTGGTAGCTGAGAAAATAAGTGAATATTCGGTATTTTCCCCAGTGAAACTTCTAAACTCAGAGTCAGCATTTTGAACTTTTTCATTTTGGTTGTTTTGTTTTTCCCCACTTTGGCAAGGGGTGGGGGCAGCTTAAACATGGATGTTATTATTTGTGTGTTTACATTAAGGAGTTTGGTTAATTTCACAGGGTCTGGCAAGAGTTCACCCTCCTCACTCTCCTCCTGAAAGTAATCTGGCTTTAGGGCCAGGAATAGCCACTCTCCTTAGGAATTAAAGTGCATTTTTTTTTTTTTTCAGTAAAAGGGGGTGGGGGGAGGTGTGGTTTACACTTAAGTGATAATGATTAGAAGAAGGTGGGGGTGAGAGAAAATCCTACTCCTATATATAGGTGTTTATAATTAAGGTCATAATAAAAACCGATATTCTCTAAGGAAGGAAGATGCACAAACCCAGCCCAGCACCCCCAGGGGTGCGAGAGGGCGAGCTTGGCTCACCGACTTTTCTGAGGCATCTTTCAGCAATTCGGCGTAATCGCGGCAGATGAAAGACACAAACCTCAAATGTTAGTTTTTTCAAAGGGAAAAAACAGACTGGTAGGTCCTTATAGTTAAAAACTATCTCATTCCCTTTCAGGGATAACATTTTAGAAATTGATTGTCTGTTTTAATATGAATCCTTGATTAGCAGGTTGTGGGAAAATGTTAGGTAAGTTTGTTGCTTACAAGCATTACAGTAGCTTTTCAATGTCAGGCAGAGGGGGCATCTCGGAGTCATGCTATCAATTCATATCAGCCGAGAGGAAGTGAATCCACCTTTGATCTCTTTATTTGGCAGCTACTTCTATTTCCTGTAAATGCTTTACCGTTTCTTGGACAAACCCCCCGAGTTTTCCAAAGAGAAGTCAATGCTACATTATTAGCTACAAGAAGAAGTGATGGGCTCAAGATGAGGAGGGGAACTTGACCTGGATTCTGGCCTCTGAGTCCAGTGTGATCTGCTTTTCACAGTGACCAGGGGAAGGCAAAGCGCCAGGGACTGACCGGTAGGTGGGGGGCAGCTGTCACCCACCCGATAAGCACCATAGAGAACGCTTGACGGATTTCTTTCAGACCATATCCATCTGCAGGAAACCGAGTGTCGGCCACATGACTCTGCCTTTGAACCTGCAGCCTTCTGGGTCTTCAGCCAGAGGCGAAGCTCGAGTGGGTCCCCTCCTGAAATCAGGAGGAGCCAGGAATTCTAAATGCTCTTCCAATGCACTTCTCCCTTTCCTCACTTAGGCCGACATGCCAAAAACAGAGGGTTCTGATTTTAAGGTTTCCTAAAGGAGAAGCTATTGGTTCCGGACTGAACTGGCAGAGCTATTTAGGTCCTGCCATAAGGTCACATAATGATGAAACGGGCTACAACTGTGAACACATGACAGGTGACAAGTTAACGGACGGAGACAGAACACACTGCTTCTGCCTACGTACGGTGTGGGAATGTTTGTCTTTTCTAGAGAGTAGGGGGATTGGGCAGGGCGGTGGGACTGTCGTCAGCTGTTTCAGGAAGAATTTCTTAGAGGTTTCAGAGGAATCAGCAAGCCAACCCCGAAGGGCAGAAGAACTTGACTGAACTTCACAGTCCTGACAGGGAATTTTGTTTCATTCCTGACTTAAAATATATATGTTTATATATTTACTTATTTATTTTTTTACTAATACTTCCCCATCCTCCTTCTCTACTACCCCTACTCTTAAAATCCAGTGTGGTATGATTTGCATAAAGTTCAACGATGTTTCACAGTATTCCACAATGTTCTTCAGGATGAAAACCCTGATGGGCTATTCTCTGGATGCATACAAGTCCCAAAGGCTACTGCTTTTCAATCCCACCCAGTATCAGAAGCCTTTGCGAATTTTCTAAGGCATAGGAGGGGTTTTCTGTGAGCGACACTGCAGCATTACATGCTAAGTAAATAGCCAGGCCTTAATGTTACCATCATGAAATTTCATAGCCCGATGCTAACTTGGTCCTCTGCGCTAACCAATCTTTCCTTCCATCTACTTGTTCTCATACAGATCACCTATTTGAAATTTAAATGATCAATTATTTGTAGGCAACATATGAGTGAAAATTTCTACGGGACCCAAAATTCTCCTAAAAGAGGAACTGCTATATTTGAGCCTGTTCTTAAACACAGCTCTCCTTCGTGATTAGAAATCACTTGGCGGTAGCTGGTTAGTCTGAACAGTGGCTCCCATTTTTTTTAAGGGTAATCCAGCAGTTCTCCTTCCCATTACCAAGTGGGAGGTTTGCCATGGGCAGATGTCTTTACTATTGGGCTGGGGAGAATGAAAGACATGGAACCTCACTGGGGAATTACTGGGTTAGGGCTGTGACATCCTGGAACAAAGATGCATTTCACATTTCATATAAAATTCAGAAATATTAGCTAGTGCATTTCATTCACAAAGAAATAAGGAAAAGTGAAAGTCACTTTACATTGAAATCCCACTCAGAAGACACGCTAAGAGACAAATAATCAAATGTATTATCATCACCCCAGGAAGAAGTCCTTTTTTTCTCCATTAACTTTAAGAATCTTCCTTGTTTATTTTACAAATAGAAATCATCCTAGGTGGCTTGGGCTTGGCTCTCTGAATAAGTTCAAGGGCTTTATTTTAGCTAGCAGAGTTAAGAAATCTCCACTCAAATCACATATGCAAAGGAAAGAGGACTCCAGAGACCAGACTTTGAACATTTGTTTTGCTTACTTTTGTATACTTGGTATTAGGTATTGAGAGGAAACTGGATGGATGGCATCATCTCTCTCCAAAATTACTATGACGACCAATGGATGATCCGTTTTACCACCTTAGCGTAGGCCTACTGTAAGCTTTAAACCCAGCGCCATGCCTGGGGGATCAACAAAGGTATCTTAGGAGAAAGAGGGAACCAGATTGAGGTTATCCTGCCAAAGGCCACAGGGTCCCTAGACAGTGATTCTCAACCTTGGCTGCCCATTAGAATGATCTGGGGAGCTTTCAAACTCAGGCTGCACAGACCAGTGAAATGTGAATGTCAGTGATTTTTAAAAGGCCCCAGATGATTATAGTGTGCAGTCAAGATGGAGATCCACCGGCCTAGGTCGACTGGCTCTGAAATAGAAAGCAGTAAGGCCAGTGCTCACCCAAGCCAGAGGGAGGAAAGGTGAGACTCCGTGCTTCCTCCCAGATCCACAGATTTCACATGCCTCAAAGAAATTCCCTAGGCACTTCTCACTTGTTTGTTTTTATGTAAATCACTAGAGCTGTAAGAAGCCACACCTCTAAAAAGAAATTACTGATTTAAGTAAGACTGCGCCTTAAGTACATGGGATAGCAGAATAGCTGGGGATGGGCCTAGGACAAGACTTGGCATAAAAAGAAGATAAAACCAAAGGAAGAAGTTTCCTAAGCAGGAATTAATTCCTGAGTCTAGGATATTAACATGGCTTATAGGCTGCCAATTATTCTACTGTTAGGAACAAACAGATTCACATTGATTTTACTGCCTCATCTCCCTCCAGGATTCATACTGTACTCAGGGAAAGGCTACTATCTATATCAATTGACACCAATGAGTAATGCTTGTCTCACTATTTGGAATTCCACACTGTCGGTATCATCACTTGCCCTGCCCAGTCACCGGGTAAGAAATACTTATCAGCTAGTACCTAAAACAGAGATACCAACCTCTAAAAATCTGAAAAACAGATCACTCTCTCCTTTTCACTCCTAACCAGAGAATCCTTGTTTAGACGCTACAACCAGCCAATGCATTAGAATGAAAAGTGGGACGCTTTCCAGGGGATCTATTAAGGGCCACCAGTCCTTTGCCAGCTGCAACAAGTGTTCAGAAGGCAGCCTTGCTCAGTGGACTCGCTCCCGAAACAGCCCATCAGCTGACAGCTACACGTGGCTGTAAAGATCAGGAGGCCTGCCTCATAGCATTTCCTACTGAAACTACATTTCTCGGCACCCACAACATTCAAGAGAAGCCATCTTGACTATTATAACAGTATCGGCATTAAAAATGGGAATATCTCTCTTTGGAGTGATGAAAAGCAAAACAGGTCATCCAAAAATCCATGTCATGCACACCTCTATGTCAAGATATTGGCAGAAGGCTCATTATCAGGAAAATATGGTTAATATCCCAGTTCCCCAAAATGGACTGCAAATGGCAACTGAAAAAAGAGAACTCAGGATTCAAACTACTTTTTTCACATCCTTAGAAGAAGCTGGGTTTGTCTTTAAAAACAACAGAAAGACTCCACTTCCACTGGCGACTCTGCCAAATAGAAGGTAGTGGACGAAAGCACCACACTCAAGTGTCCTGACGCTGATTTGGGCCACACAGCCAAATATGAACATCTAAATGTGACAAGGAGAACTAGACACTGCAGCCTCTATATTTTGCTTGCTACAGAAAGCTACACTC